GAGATAACAAAATGCTCCTTCCTAGTAAAGGAGCTGTCTTAGTTACTTGTGTCTTTGAGATGAATCCGGGTTTGGAGATTTTCATTTTCAGCTCGTCCCCTTTCTTAACTGGTTTCGTGATTTCAAAAAGGCAAAGCTGAAGCCAATTCTCACAAACTTGTAGCTAAGAGGATGAAGAAAAGGTTATCGGCTTTGGGTTTTTTACAAGTTCCTCATAGCATGAAACTTGAAGTGAAATACTATCTCTACACTGAAAGCACTCAATTAGAAAATTGTTGGTGGAATTGCATCTTTCTTTCACTTATTTTTGTTTACTAACATCAACAAATGCACAAAAAATGAGTTAAAATTGATATTTCTGTCCTGTTTGTCCATGTTGTCTCATTGCTCAACTTAAGAAAATTTGAGTCTGGTCTAAATATTGCTTTGGGCATCACCTGACTAGAGTTCGCTGATTCAAGATCATTGCTGTTGTTTGTAAGATCACATTGCATGTCCAATACAAATGATAATTTTGAATAACTTACATGAGATTCATCATCTTCACATGTTCGACAATAAGGCGATTCTCTTTGTCGGTCTAAAGAACTTCTATCTAGCACTAGCAAATATATCTCCTGCATATGTAAATAGTCTCTTATTGTACCTTTCTTCCAGAATTCTCCCATGATGGCTCCCGCACAAAAGTACCTGACATTAAGATCACTTGGTGCTCCAGCAGTTCTTCTCTCTTTGGCCATGCAAGGGGTCTTTCGAGGATTTAAGGATACTAAAACTCCTCTTTATGCCACAGGTCAGAAAGATGTTCTCTATTCTTCTTGTTCTTCTTGTTTTTGTTTTTTTTTTTTTTTTTGCAATGCTATTCCTTTGGAGTGGCATGACTGCATAGGTTCTGGGTAAAATGTTCTAAATTTATGTTCTTTTTATGGTTGAGACCACGAATATTTCTGTTAAGGTACAGAAGCACATTAGAAAGCCTGGAAGATGACTTCCAGATGTAATTGCATGCTAGAACAGACATTAGTAAAGCATGCAAAGCGGCCAAAGGGTGTTGGGTGAGATGGATGTCTTTCAAGCCGTATGACCCTCCAACCACTCACCTAAGACTGATTCTTAATGACTTCTTTATTACTTGGTTTACAGAAGCATCATAGCTGTCTAGCCTGTCTCTCAGTCATAGTTTTGCTCCTCAAGTGCTTAAATAAGTTTGGCATTCACGAGAAGAGCCACAACTAGTTAATTGAAGGACATGGACAGCAAAGCCAATAATTGTTAGAAAGTCTCACTATCTAATATCTTTTGTGTACAGCTTTGGTTAATGGTTACGAATCAAACGAAAGAAGCAAATTTTATATCTTTTAAAAAGACATTGCGTTGACTTAAGGTCTTGGTAAAATCCTTGAAATAGTAAATTCTGTAAGTGCTTCAATCTAAATTGTTGCCTCTGATTGCCTTGAGAGGAAGATGATACTTGTTATTCCTGATGAATTGCAATAACTGCATCTACATACAGTTTGCATCTGTAAACCGCGCTTCTTGATTTTGTGGAGTGGGATTAACTCCCTTGTCAATGTATCAAGGAAGAAAAAGAAATTTATTTCTTGAGATTCATAGACCTTCCACTTGATTTCATTGTTTATTGGTTCAAAACAGTTTTAGGAGATGCTGCAAATATCATTTTGGATCCCATACTTATCTTTGCCTGCCACTTGGGAGTTAGTGGTGCAGCCATAGCACATGTTCTTTCTCAGTGAGTAAAATTTTCCACCTTTTACTTCTCTACTTGTTTGGACCATTTGGATTGATGCATTATGGCAAGTGATCCTTTCAGGTACTTGATATCACTGATTCTCTTGTTGAGGCTTATGAAACAAGTTGATCTCTTACCTCCCAGCATCAAAGAGTTGCAATTTCGTCGATTCTTGAAAAATGGTAGGTGGTTGATTTCTAACATCGATATATTGCTTGTGATTACGTTTTCCAAATCAAGAAGTTTCAGTTCAGACTGTTTGTCCACCCGACAAAAAGTTGAGATGTGGAAAAATGGTATCGGTAATGCACTTCCAGTAACAAACTTTGCAAGACATGCTGACCATTCTGCAAATGTAGTGTTTATGCCATTAAAACCTGGAACATTAACCTGGATTTTGCTTCCTCTGTAGTTCTAGATTAATCTGAAATATCTACTTGTACCTTTTATCCATATCGGTTTATGTTTACTTTCTGCTCGCTGGTGCCTGTAGGTGTTCTATTGTTGGCTAGAGTGATAGCTGTTACATTCTGTGTTACATTAGCCGCATCATTGGCGGCAAGGCTCGGTTCAACACCCATGGCTGCATTCCAGATATGTCTTCAGGTGTGGATGACATCATCACTCCTGGCTGATGGTTTGGCTGTTGCTGGACAGGTAAATGCTTCTTTTTCTTTCTTAAACTTGAGGCAGTGAGTTTTTGTACAGTTATATACCTGTCACAAAAGATTGAAACCTCGTATCAAAGAGTATACAGAGGCAGCACAAAAGTTGGCATTTGCCAATTCTAGATAAAACGTACTTTTCTAGAATTGAATGTTCATCAACTTCTGGTCTAATCTCTTGAAAGAATAGCCCATATTTTCACTTCATAAAAACCCAGTCAAACCTCAGCAGAACCTACAAACATGAACTGGAAAATAGGGGTAATTAGAGTATACTCTAGATCCATTTTCCTTTGGTCATGCGTTGGTCTACAAGGAATGTTTATAATGTTGCTGATGTCAATGGGGAATTTTCCATTCGGATTTATCTAATCAGTGCTTATGTTTTTTGACTGATATATGATAGATAATTTCCTTTTCTAACAAATTGTAGGCAATATTAGCCAGTGCATTTGCTGAGAAAGATTATGGCAAGGCAACAGCTGCTGCATCCAGGGTATTACAGGTACGCCGGTTACATTGAACATCAGATTGTTGGAAGTGATCTACTTCTTTCTTTGGTTTTCTCTTACGGTATCATCAACATGGGATTCTGACACTTTCGTTTGACGTGTATGTCAATACGAGAGAAGCAGTCTGGCTGTCCCTGAGTCATTCATGTTAAATACTTTAAATAACTATCAAGGAATGATTTGTCGCGTGGATAACAGCATCCTCTGCGTGTGTGAGCACCTAAACTGATAAGAAATTTTTTGTTCTGCAGATGGGTTTTGTCCTAGGCCTTGTGCTTGCTGTTCTTGTGGGGGTTGGTCTGCGATTTGGATCGGGTGTATTTACAAAAGATGTCAATGTTCAACAAATAATTTTTGTTGGCCTTCCGGTACGTCCCCGCTAATCAGCAGCGTGCTATTCTAATTAAGAATGTTGTACATACAAACTTAATGTTCCTTCCTATGCCAATCAGTTTATTGCAGCTACCCAGCCAATCAACTCGTTAGCTTTTGTTTTTGATGGTGTTAATTTTGGAGCTTCGGATTTTGCTTACTCTGCATACTCCATGGCAAGTGCTGAAAACTTTATTATGTCATGACTTTGGTTTAGCCGAGATTCCTTTCTAATATTATTGCTCTCTTTTCTTATCTTCCAGGTTCTGGTGTCTATTGTTAGCATTGCTTCCTTGTTCCTTCTCTCTAGGAGCAACGGCTTTGTAGGAATCTGGGTTGCTTTAACAATTTATATGGGTCTTCGTACATTTGCTGGTGTCTGGAGGTAATTTTAGCCTTAACTGAGTCATGTGCAAGAATCTGACTTAATGTGATCTCCAACTCAAGTATTATAGTCGAAAGGCCTGACAAAATCTGATTGACTGGCAAGTTGACTTCTTGGTCTTGTTCAATCAGGCCAATTTTATCTTTAATTTTTCGAAATGACCATAGTGTCACCCATAAATTGGGCTTCTCTTCCTCCTCTCTGCTCATTTACCCTTCCTTCATTTCTTGAACAATGTTCACCACCATCATTCCTAAAATTGACTGAAGTGGTTATTGCATCTGCAGGATGGGAACTGGAACTGGTCCTTGGAGGTTTCTTAGGGGTCAACGTACACCGCAGGCTTCATAATTCTAGCATATGTAATCTGGCAGCATACCTCTTGTTACTAGTTTTTCATATCTGTCTCATATATGTTTCATGCGTATATCATGGTTGACCTGCTCAATAAATCTGTTCAAATGCTGCTGTACATGTATGTCAGAGGGTATATAAGACTAAGACTCTCTCTCTCTCTCTCTCTTTCTCTCTCTCTCTCTCTCTCTCTTTCTCTCTCTCTCTCTCTCTCTCTCTCTCTCTGTGTTGTTGGTGCACGCATCTTCGTGGATGCACCTATCGTAGAAGGTTGTAATACCAGAAGAGAAGTTCCTCTCCAGGAACAGATATCAAGCACTAAAACTTAGTTCCTGTTAATAACCTGGCTGTGTTTCCATGGACCACTTTGTTGGTCCGTTACAATTCATGCCCTCTCTACCGAAGATGTTTGCACATTTGAGGCCCTTGACAATGCCTCATTGAAGCGAATCTCCTTTAGCTTTCCTTCAAGTTTAAGATAGCAGAACGCCAATTATCAACATAACGGCTAGCGACACTGCCCATATCCCAGATTTACCTTGGAAACATTCCTCCATTTCTTGAGGGCGTGTGACTGGCTTTTATACCTCCAAGCATACAGTATTCTCAGTTGATTGTGGTCTCAATTTATTGCTCTCCCTAATTGGAGGGTTAGTAAATGTCGAAAACGATAAAAGATGCATGCTTAGATATTGAATGGAAGATGGGCGCTTTAAATTCCTATGGAGTAGCAAAGATTTTCACTTTTGCATATTTGGAAATCAGAATAACAGTTGATTGTTGTAATTAGATTGCTTCATTATAGTTTTTAATTCATGATTTTTGCGCAAAAATCTTTTCAAGTCACTGCATTAGTGTGACCTAATTGAGAGAACAAAGAAGGTATAAATACGAGTATTCGAATATTAAAGATATTGAATTGCTTGTGAACATTCTTTTTGCTGAATGAAGTGCTTATGAACTTGGTACAAAAGTAGAGCGAGTTCATATCTTTATAATCTTCTATACACGTATATCACAGAGAAAAGCAACATACTGGACATTGTCCAGTGGACAAGTAGCTACTCTCGTTACTTGAAAGGAAGCAAAGAATCAAGCTTACATCCAACGGCACATCTCTCCTCTATCAACCGAACCAGACATTCTTTATAACCTTCTATACACGTATATCACAGAGAAAAGCAACATACTGGACAAGTAGGTACTGGTAACTACAGAACTCGGCAAGTTTCAGGATAGTGTGGTCTAAGGTGACCGAAACTCCGATTGGACTTTCTGCATCTCATCAGCAGTTGATTCCACATTGTTCAACATCTGGCCCAGTGACTCTCGTTGTAAATGGATCAATCCTCACCCACAACAAAGAGAAAATGGAAGCAAGAAGGATTGACCAGACAACAACGATAGTGGGAGTGCGGTTCTGGCGTCCCATGAGACCTTTGAGGAAGGGATAGAGATGGATGATCACCCAAAAAGCAAAGAACAGCTTACCAAATAGAGGCCCCCACGACTGATATCCGCTGTTGATAGCATAGGAAATCCCCGCAACAACCCCCACCAAGTTAATGATGAGGAGCGTTGTGGGTGGAATGAGCAGAGTTGTCCATTTGAACATGTAGAGCTCGGTGAAATCCCCTTCTTCATCTGATGCTTTGGAGGTGACAGTAAAGTTGGTGTCTATTCCAGCAAGCACTTTGAGTAGACCTTGGAAAACAGCAAAGAGATGGGACGAAACACCACCAATGACCCAAAACTGCTCATTTCTCCACCACTCATCAATTCCAACACCACTCCACCTCATTTCCAGTATTCCAGTAGCAAAAATTGAAAGGAAAAGAGAGATGAACCATATACTTGCAATATTACTTATCTGCACAAGAAAAACCACAGCTACTCAGTATATCCTAAAACTGCAGTACAGCATACAAATCGAATCAACTCGGTATATCCTACAAATGCAGCGTAGTAGGCATGATAAGAATGGAAGTTTTTGAAATAACTTGATGCCAGGAGCCTCTTCTGTATTTTTAGCAAAAACAACTTAAGCATATAGGGCATACTCAATTTTTATTAACTTTATCAAGGAAACAAGGGATCCCAAATTTTTTCCTGTTTATTTTCCTACACAATTAAGTTCTGTTTGGTTGGTGGACTAAGATCGCAAAGTTGAGAAAGACTGTCCATTGTTTGTTTTGCCCACACTTTCCATGTCTGGCCGTTTGGAGATATATACTCAATTGAAGACATACTGCAGTTTCATTCATATCCTTCTGCAGAAAATGCATGCTTCATGTTCGCAAGGAGATGCATCCCAAAATCTCCAAATAGAGAACAAACTCACACATAATGCTGTTCACTTTTTATTGTTACTAACGAGCACAAACAAATGAAAAGAGGGAAAAGAAGACCACATTCTAAACGAGTTCCCCTACAGGGATAAGCCAATGGACTGTTTCGAATAAATCACCAGAAGCACAAAGAAACATGATATTGCAATGAAAGATTATTTCTATCCAATAAACGTGCATAAATTTTAGGAGCATATAACAAACCTGTGGAATAATAAACTTGTTTGTAAGTAGACAGACAGCTGGCAAGGTACAGTACATCAAGAGAGGGATGGCGGTGACTGGATAAATTGTTGTGTTAACATATGCAAATCTCTCAAGCCACTTCAACCTACCACCATAGCCATACCATATGGGGCAGTGCCGACTAAAAAGAATTTCCACAGAACCTAGGGCCCATCGAAGCACTTGGTTCAGTCGATCTGAAAGATTAATAGGGGCAGAACCCTTAAAGGCAGCGCGTTTTGGCATGCAATAGATCGACCGCCAACCACGGGCATGCATTTTGAATCCCGTCAGAATATCTTCTGTAACAGAACCATAGATCCATCCAATCTACAAAAGATAGCCAATTCACACTGTTATAATTTAGCACAAAGACGTCAATATATGCAAAAGAGCATGAGAGGATAAATACCTTAATACCACATGAATACGCAGACACAAATTCTAAGATGTTCAGGATTCAGTGAAATATAACACTACCCACGATAAACCAATCCTCAGGCTATAATTTTGTAAGTGCCTTACTCAAAAACTACATGTCATTTTTTATTATTAATTAAGCCTTTTAGCGACTGATCTTGAAGACACATTAGTATCTTAAAGCAAAATAAACAAAGTTGGCATAGAACAATATGTTGGCCTACAACAAAGTTAGAAAGCCTCGAAATTCATATGCTTACCTCACTGCCCCATTCTGTTTTATCCTCATACCCACAGCTGATAACATGAATAGCCTCTTTAAGAAGGGTTTCTGGCGTTGCAGATTGAGGAACGCCGCCATTTTCCATGAGAGTTGAGGCTACAAAAACAGCAGACTGACCAAACCTCTTCTCAAGGCTCATTTGGGACATCAATAAAGATTTCTCATCATCAAATCCAGCACCTTACAGGAGAAAATTCGCGCTTCAGGATCAAACCAAGAAGGCAAGCCCAATGCTACTATTTGAGAGGCATGATAACAGCAAGCAGAAACGACACGCAAAACTCGCAGATTAACAGTAAATAATAGAACTCGATGACATTGTCATTTTAAAGGACCCCAGATAGAACCCAATGTTGAACACATGCAATAAAACAATAAGATTCTAATTCAAAGATGAGCAACTGAACATGATGGCTGCAATTGACAGGTCCAAATCAAGTTTCAATTGGACATCTTGTGAGTACTTCTGGAAACAAGTACAGTAAGATTACCTTCAACCCCCTCTTCTATATCCTCCAAGCTGAAAACAGGGACAGTAGTATCCCCATGGTTCCCAGATCTCTTCCTGTCTGAGCTCTTTTTACTCGACTTTGAACTATTCTTTCTCGATCCCCCACATAGTGAGGACAGCACTCCTGGCTTCTTATGTTTTGGTTTTAGAGGAGGTTCATAACCATATAAAGCTGTTCTATTAAAGACGCACCCAGTTCCCACGTAAACAGGACCTTGGATACCATCTAAACCTCTCAAGTTTATCTGGAGAACACATAAAAATTTAACAAAATTATATGATTAAAACCTTTCATTCCGTGAAATACTTGCAAACTTTGCTCCACAAACAAAGGCATCCTTTCAACCGAAAAAAAAAAAAAACAAATACATGCTTTACTAAGCACTCCTCTATGAACAAATTAAGTGCCTCCATAAATCTAAAATAAGGACTAGCAGTACATCAATCCATGATGTAATACACAACTTACATCGAAGAACACGGTGTTCCGGTTTGCGTATCGGTCATTCCTATCAATACCATCAAATCTCTGGGGAAACTGAACGTAGCAAACATGTTTGCCGAGGTTAGGATCCATAAGAAAACACATTGCTTCTCTCAAGGCCTTACTGTTGTTTATGTAGTGATCACAGTCAAGATTCAACATGAAAGGTCCATTAGTAAGCACGGCAGATACACGGACCTGCAAGGGATCCATATCAGCTGAGTACGCCCAAACCCAAATTTTGATTATTAACTTTGCAGAATAAGACTTGCACAAAACATTAAGTTGATATCTGATGATATTTATCGAACTCACCAGAGCATTCATAGCACCAGCTTTCTTATGATGTTGGAAGCCAGGACGCTTCTCACGAGAAACATAAACCAATCGTGGCAGCTCATTACCCTCAGCATCAAGCCCTCCACTTTGCCCAAGGAACACCTGCAATCAACAAACAAAAGATTATTACATTTTTAAGGAGTACAAACACTAAATGCGAAACTGACAGCCCAACATATCATACTCATATCAAATGGATATAAAACAGGATATAATACTTCCATTGAGACAAAAGGCACAATGGACAATCTTAACAAACTTATAGCCTGCAAATTTTAATGCAAAACCATGCTTAAAGAAAACTAAACCAAAGACGTATAGAAAAGTGTCATTTCTATCAATGATAGGTGAAAAGACAGACTCTCAGTAACCTTGTCAAAGACATACAAAAGTGATATGAATGATACAAGGCTATGCAGCAAAGAGAAAGGCACAGATGAGTACACCCACCATGCTTCACATGGCTGTGCAACCTAAGTAACTAACAGCCCTTGTTAGAACTTCCCTCCTAGAGAATTTATGACGAATGATGAATAGTTAATTCACCTGGATCATTCCTGGATGATCTCTGGTGTTGTTTCCTGGCCATGGGGTGCCATCCTGCATAATCCATCCTTCTTCAGGAACTTTCTGTGCTTTAGCAACAAGCCCATTGATGCGGACTTTGAATTCTTCATATTCTCTCTACAGACATGCAAAGAGAACAGCATAAAAAACACAATTCTGAAGAGAAAACAAGAGAACCAAGTAAATGAAAGAAGATGGGGGCTTGCCTTCATAGCTCTGCGATATTTGACAAATGATGGTTGAACTTTATCCTTCAAATAATCAATTTTTTGGGTGAAGTACCATTCTGGAGCCCGTGGCTCAATGTCATACTTCTTGCAGAACGGAACCCATTTCCTAGCAAACTCTGCAGTTTCAGAGAGTGCTTCAAATGTCAACATGGCAGCTCCATCATCAGATACGTAGCAAGAGACCTTGTCAATTGGGTAGTCAACTGCAAGAATGGATAGCACGGTGTTGGCTGTAACAAGAGGAGGTTCTTTCAGCGGGTCAACAGTACTGACAAATATATCAACAGCTGCCAATTGTGATGGTTCTCCTTCTCTGTCATATCTGTTCCAGATGAAAACACAATCACTGTCATGAACATTGCAATTACTAGAAAAGAGAACTGATATCTGTCTCACAGGTCTAACCAGACAAAATCAACCCAACTTATGACTTACAAGTTGACCTACCTGAGGGCAAGCCTGTCAAGATATGTCTCGCGATTTACAGGAAACCATTTGGGGAACTGATCCAATATCCATGATATTGCAAACCATACCTCACATATCACAGATATTAACCAAAGTGCAAATGCATTAGGCACAGGATTTGTTATACGGTAGTGCAAGAAAATGGAGAGAATAACCAGCCGCAGCATAATGACCATCCTGTATGGATTTATTCTGGAGGATGGAATAGAGACCTTCCTTGAAAGAGGCTGCCTAGCTTCATCATTCCTGAGCAGAGAAAAGAATACAAGAATGAAGAAATAGCATCTTTATAGCAAACTCTCCTGTTTCATTAATGAGCTACATTTTGGCCAATAGAAAAACAAATGCTGAGAAAATAAATGTAATTCGCTGCCATTATGGAGATAACCCATTACTTAGAGCAGGGTTTATCCCCAGGAAAAGAAAAGGAAGATTGACAGAGCTCAGGAACCTATAAGGTAATAACTCACAATAAAGAGTCATCAACAAGCACATCAGTGCTAGCATCTATATCTCCAGCTCCCCGCTCAGAGGTTGCCTGGCCAGTGCTCATTGGTCCAACATTCTTCTCCTGTTTCATCTTCCAGCCATCAACTCTCTCCTTCCAAGCAACATTGCCAATTCCAGGTGAACCAAATTCCCTCGCTGGATCCACAACTCTTATGTTAGCTGTGAAGACGAGAAATCTTTATCAATATCCATGAGGGCATGCCTAACCCAGATAGTAGAGACATAATCAATTAGAAGCTTAAATATGACCTTAAATGGGGCACCACGCACGCGGGAGAGAGAGAGAGAGAGAGAGAGAGAGAGAGAGAGAGAGAGAGAGAGAGAGAGAGAGAGATACGTGATTGAGTAACATCAGATGCATAAGAAAGTGGACGAACGCGATTCCCTCCACCAACTGCAGGAGATGCCATAGAAAGTCGTTCAGGAGAAGCAGCAGATAACTCTCCAGAAACCTGAGAATTTTAGAACGGCACATCTGCAAGTTCAGTGACACAGTCAACCAGTAGAGAAAAGTAGCTTTCCAAAAGTTCTTTTAGAGTACCTCTTGTGTACTAGTAAGCAGAGGAATATGGTTATGAGAAACCTCTCCATCATAGTTGGCCGAAGCAACATTTTCCCCTCGTCCATATGTCATATGCCAGCTCAACATGCGTTCTGCAATTTTCTCCTTTTCAGTTTGATCTTCAGAAGAGTACTTGTATTCATCGCCAGCATCTCCATCCTCTTCATGGTCACCAATAATGGCAGGACTTCCTGCAAGCAAGAAGCGTGTAATAAGGTATGTCGAACTAAGGTAATTTCATAAGAAGTAGAATTGACAAATTGAAACCCCAGGACTGTTCGGGTTGGCACTTGGAACTAGGGATTCCAATAAACATTGTGGAAATGACACACATGGACAGTCCCCCGTGAAGCTCTGGGGTCTGACTTTAAGATAGACATATGGGCAGTTATAAATTATAGGAAGAATTCCAAACATGGAAGCTTTAAATACCAATCTAAATGCAAATAAAAGCACATTGCAACAATATTGGAAAAAAGGAAAAGCAGTCAACTTTAAAAGTAGCACTGAAGTTATTTTGCTTCTATATACCTTTGTGCCTCTTGTATCTGGTCTTGCATTGAGGGCACGACTGATTTCCATCCTTCCTCTCATATTCGTAGCAAGGCCGACAGACAGGAAATGCACAGACATCACAAGCAATGAAGGGCTCCCCATCGAAAGTTTTGCCGACCTTCTCACCACATATCTGGCAGACTTGGCTGCCCAGATTTTTCAAGGGCTTTCCCTGTGCAAAAGCAACAAAATTCGCACCAATGAGTCAATCTCTTTTGCACCCACCCTCCTACCATAATATCTGCAACCCGAGTAAGATCACCAACTCAAATGATAATGCTGTCAGCGTGTTATAGATCAGTGTAGCAGAAGCAAACAGGGGACGCCCCAAGATGACTCAAGTAGTCAGATTAATTGAAAGATGCAATTCGGCAAGTATCCGATTAATATTTCTGGATCTGGAGCAACTAATGATGCAGCTTGACACTCTGTGAGATAAATAGATTGCTGCAGTTCTACTCATCTTAGAAAAAACCTGCAATAACTAGAGATAGGTTGACACACTGATGGTAATTACCAAAAAGAAGTTGTTAAGTGGAAAGGAAGTCTCACCCCAGCTTCAGCTTCGGATTCCATCGCTGGAGCACCTTTTTGCCGAGATGTCGAGAGAAAACCACAAAACTGACTCAGCGACGACAAGATCTGTGCATACTTAGAGGCTTACATGCGCCTTCGAACGTGCTAAAAGGCAAGTGGAATCTGTTTTATCTGAGCCCTTCCACTTCCAAAAGCAGCTTCTATATTTCTGCAAAAGCCTGTTCCAAAGACTATGAACTAGTGGGAACATAGTTCATGGAATAACTTGGACTCCTCCAGTAAGCAAAAAACTATCTAGTCACAACTACCACACAAAGTGCAAAAAAAAAAAAAAAAAACAAAACGAGGAAGCTTTTTCATCCATCGACCGATGCTCGAGGAAGGGAAGGAAAACACGTTTCCTCTGTTTCGCTCGCCAACAAACGCACATGTACCGAAGCGAAGGAGTGGTGCGAAAATTGCTTTGCCAGAAGGATAGAATCAATTTGCACAGACCCATCTCCAAATTCAACAAGGAAGGAACAGGGGACGCGAATCTCACCTTGAAATCAAAGAGGGAAAGGGAGCGAGGGACAGCGACAATGGCGATCAAAGCGAGCGACTGATGTCTCTCCCTCCCGTTCCAAAGCCACTCTCGATAGCTGGAAATGACATGAAGCGTGCACTTGAATTCAACAAAGAGAAGAAGATGTGGATAATTGCACGAATGACGACGACACAAAGGAAACGAAAGCGACAGCGCAACCTCAACACCACCGACACTCACCAGCGTCAGCAGTCGAGAGAGAGAAAGAGAGGGAGGGAGCAAACTGTCGGAGATCAGACATACTCCTGCAACCGAGATGTTACTAAAGTTCAAGCCGACACTTTTTTTGTTTTGTCTTCTCGGGGAGTTCATCCATGGACTTCTTCCCGCTTCGAATGTCGGCCCAATCAGTACAGCCCGGCCCAAACGAAACGTGAATCGGATTGATTCACTTGGGCTCGGCCCATTGAATGGTAACCCTACTACTTCTTGACTCTCTTCTTCTTCCTCCTCCTCCTAATGTTGCCTGTACCACTCCCAACGTCCTGCGTCTCTCAGTCTCAGCTGGCCAGAGCTGGACTCTTCCCACTGTTCGAAGCTTTCCGTTCAGTATTCATCACTCTTGTAGTAGTGGTGGTGGTGGTGGTGGGTGGTGGTGGTCTGAAGGAATCCCGATGATGAAGTATTTAGTAATCTGAAGGATGCGCGTGAAGAATGAATCGGTGGTTCATGGTGCTCCCTCTCTGTAGAGGTCGAGGTTACCATCGTCCATTTCGTTTTCACGCCATTGCCAGGTGGATACCAGGCTCTCTCTGAGGGATTCCCTTCTTCCTTGGGTGGTCCCATCCCATCATCGTTATCACAACCCAAAAGGGTCTGCTCATGTTCAGTCTTAGACTCCAACGTATGCGACTGGGTTCTGCCGATTATGAATATGGGCGAGTCTTGAGAGAAGGGTCGTCAGGCTACCGTTGGCTGGCTGTTAGATTAGAGCATGTTGGGGGTGGTGATTCTGATGGAGCACATGTTATTGCAGAATTCACGCAGAAGCAGATGCATCTGTCTGTGCATTGTCCGCACTCAGGGATGCCTCGTCCTGTATATTGGTCATGATCACATTAACATAACCAGATGCACCTCTTCTGGGTGAGAAACTGTTTTCCAATTCGAAACTCACGAATTCAAATGTTCTCGCGCATGTGGGACAGAGACATCAAGTAGACCTGTCTCTCCTGATACAAAAACTGTTTGCGGGTGGAGTTCTCTTGAATACTAGCCCCTGTTTTCACAAGATCAACAAGGAATACCCCGGTTTACATAGGCACACCCTGGCCTAATACCCTTAAAAAAAATGCCTCAATTCGATCCTAAATTTTTTTGTCCCATAAAAAGTCCCAAAATTTAGGTCTTGTCTTAATTTTACTCTAAAATTTTTGTAGTCTCATAAAAAATCACCAATTTTGACTTTGAGTTACAAATTTTCCCTCATTAATGCTCCGTTCAAAATCTCTCCTAAGCGGAAGCTCTCCGACCGCAAAAGATAGAACACTACCGAGCACGATAAATTGGAAACCGAGCACAAAATCAAAGATTTCCAAGCAAGATGAAAGGAAGGCTATATTAAGAGTAAGAATAATTGAAGAAACACAACCCTAATTGCTCTAATTTTTACCCAAATTTCATATCCAAGAAGGCGTTTGGAATGAATTCATGTCCAAAAAATGTCTTCTTGGATTTGAAATTTGGCAAAAAAAAACTAGATAAATTACATGGAAATGCCACGTAAGATTACTAAGGGCGATTTTGGATGGAGGCACAATAGGAACTTGACCGTAAAAGTTGATGATTTTTTATGATGCAAAAAAAATTAAGGTAAAATTGGAACTTGACCTAAAGCTAAAAGAAGTTTAAAGTAGAATTAGGATTGGAAAATTTGAGGGTTTTTATGAGACCAAAAAAGTTTAGGATAGAATTGAGATATGACCTAAATTTGGGGGTTTTTACAAGACAAAAAAAATTATGATAGAATTGAGATTATTGCTAAAATTTAGGATTTTTTAGGGTATTAGGCTTAGTTATGCTATGATATATGAAATATTCGCGTGTAATTTACCCATTTTTGCCCCCCTTAAGTGAGGATGTCGTGACTTTCTAATCTAAATTTTGTTCGCCATCGCTCGACGCTCACATCGCAATCAATGTCTAGAAACTAGAAAGGTGGCAGGACTTACAAATTCGATCATTCCTAGCTCTGCAAATGTAATGGAAAGAAGGCCTGGCGAGGCTATGCATTGAAAACAGAGTCTTTCCTTTGCAGATCATTCCGATGCGTCAAGCCAAGAACCAATTTTTCTTCATTTTGCTCAAAAGTACAGAGTTGAGAGAGAACGTGCAGACACTTGCAAGAACCCATCGAAAAGTACTATCATATCGAATTGGTTTCTTTAGCTACACACGGTTGTGCAGACAATTAAGTTCCACGTTGTATAGATGTGTACTTGGTAGATAGTGTTGTGATATAATGCGGAAAAATTCTAACGGATCTTGCAATTAAACCAATGTGAAAATCACCAGAAAAATAAATGAAGAACAATAAAGAACACCGGATATATACGTGGTTGGGTCCGAATATCGGTACCTATTCCATGGGGAGATGATCTATCAGCAAATAATTTATTAATCAACCAGAGAATTACAGAGTTGTAAGCATTCATATGCTTGAGTATATTCCACACCTAAATTACAGCCAAACCCACCCGCGGTGTTTAGTCTTGCGTAATTGCTCTCGAAAATAGATCACAAGAATTACATTACGCCTTGAATACTCACGTCTCCACGAAGAAAACGCCTCAATTGGATGTGAACTCTCTAAGCACAGGTGCGTGTGTTTCCCGCTCCTATTCACGATCAGAACAAGAGCCCCCTACTATTCGGCCACACACACACAACTCACTGAGTTTTTCTGTTCTCTGACTCGTGCTGCTCGCCACTCTTCCAAAAACTAAATATAATATTTAAGTCAAGAAAGTGAGCCCCCAAGTCTGCAGAAAATTTGGCCGAACCAAAAGAAAAGAAGGAAACTACTACCCTCTCGTGTCAAACCATAATGATTTCAATCGGCTGCAATGGGAAGTTTATTTCCTATTTCTTCATGCACCAAAGATAACGGCAACAAAAGTGGACTTACCTCATTAATAGCTTAAACTCGATACATGTTCTCAACAATCTCCATCTTGACTCAACGTTTGAGCCAAGTCACAATGCTCTTTATCCATCTTGGCTCTTCCAATGCCTCGACAGGCGCTCAACCATCACAAACGTTCTTGAACGTGTTCAAAGGAATGAACTCCATCCACATGTGGCAAGATTCTTTGCCACAAGAAACTTCTTCATGGTCACATCCTCTCCTGACTTGCTATGGGAAGTTTATTTCCTTTCGTGTCAATCTCTAATGATTTCAATTGGCTGCAATGGGTAGTTTATTTCCCATTTCTTCATGCACCAAAGATAACGGCAACAAAAGTGGACTTTCCTCATTAATAGCTTAAACTCGAGATATGTTCTCAACAATCTCCACCTTGACTTGATGTCTGAGCCAAGTCACAATGCTCTTTATCCATCTTGGCTCTTCCAACGCCTCCACAGGCGCTCAACCATCATAAACATTTATCAAGCCCATGCTAAGCTTGAACTTGTTCAAAGGAATGAACTCCGTCCACATGTCGCAAGATTCTTTGCCACAAGAAACTTCTTCATGGTCACATCCTCTCCTGACATGCTATATGTGATAGAAATTTCGGCCACCAATGAACTCAATTCTCTAGTGATATCTCTAATTTCTACCGAACACCACATCAACCGGATGTCACATGCCAACATCACTAATCAAGTCATTAGATCACACCACCTCTTCAACTCCTTTTATAGTCACCATGTCTCTCAATGACATTTTTCAAAACACAGCACCACTAATAGAAGCAAAGACATAACTGCTTAGAAATATGCCATCTTTCAAGTTCCCTACATGACCCGGATTCATATATCCAATTACCGCCATACTACGTGAACTACATCCTCTGAAACATACCCCAACGTCCTTCATTCCTAACAGAACTAGGAGGATCCACTTTTCAGCATAATAATGTATACCTGTATTAACCATATACATTATCTTGACTGCACGTAAATGATCAAACCTAGTACTATCCATGGCATAACTTAGATCAATAGTACTAACATGTGAAGTATGGGACAAGTGCTTCATCTCCATCCAAGTACACAATGACAGACTAGACAACTTATAATATGCAGCAAGCGGGGGACTTATTGAACTTCTAAACTAAGTGTTGAAACGCCTCGACGCTTTCCTAATGTAACTTTTTTTAGTCACTTACAACATTTCAATAGTTTCTCTTTGCATCTCCATATCTGAAGTTGTCTTTACTATATCCAAATTATCTATTTCAATAATTGTGGCTCTATCTCATCTACCTTCACTGACCCCCTCAAAATTTCATCTACTGTGATCGCAAAGCAATTGTTAGTACTATGGAATCTAGCGACTTTGCAGATGCTGTTACATCTTGCACACTTTGAACATCTCTCGGTTCTCCTTGAAGCTCCACCCGTTTTTGAACACCGATAGATCTTTCTCCACAATTGATCTCTAGCTCCTATTTTGAAAAAGAGTAGATTCGTTAAATGTATCATCTTTACTGAACATAAAACCAGGTGAATCTTCTTTAGTGCACTATAGTCTGTATTTCTTCATCATATATGCATAGTCTAGGAATATGCACTTCCTGACCCCCCAACTCCAGCGCACCATCACTTACACGAGCATAAGCAGGGCAACTAAACACTCTCGACGTAATCAACATATTTACCTGACCATGTTTCGTTTGGAATTGTAAATCAATTGTTGGTGATGTTGATCTATACACTAACAAATAAGCGTTATTCACTAATTCAACCCATAAATCTTCATCTAATTTAGCATTGAAAAGTAAAGAGTGAGGTCTATCTAATATAATTATGTTCATCAGTTCTGCAACTCTGTTTAACTGTGGTGTGTTAGCAACAATGCGATGTTTTATTTTGCCTTTCTCTATGCAAGACTGGCCAAGCTCCTTAAAACATAATTACATTCATTTATCATTTCTCAGGTGTCCTATCTGTTTTTCGATCATCGCC